CCTTGCAGCCCTCACAATCGGGAAGCTGAGAGGCCATCGCACGGTTGAAGAAAAATGAGGATTTCAGGAATAATGTGTTTTATTATGTCTTAGTATTTTTATGATTTAGGTAGGAGTACAGACATACCAAATTGCGATAGTTGCATTAAGACTACTAAAACAGGTAACCAAATATCCCAAACTCTCATCTGGCACTCACAGTATGAATGTAAGGGATCTGTATCTAAATGTAGATATTTGAATATTGATTATAGTGTGTGCAAGCCAATATCAGGAGAGTCTAAATGTTTTGATCCCCAATTCCAACCCCGTACAATTTGGTTGGTAATTCGGAATAGTAACTCCCAGGGGACATTAATAAATAGGACTGTGATAAGCACCATACATTCCACGGGTATTCTACTATTTGATGCATGTAAGGCGATTTCGGGTAGTGGAAGACTTTGGAATGTATGTGGTAATCTTAAATGGGAACGAACTTATGGGTTTAATGATAAATACTTATGTCCCAGTAAAAGATCTACTGATCCTGATTGCCCAAATAGAGACTAACTTCTGCCCCTATTGGTCATGTGTAGGTTGGGCAACCTGGGAAAAACAGTGGATCAAGATATGATTATCCAAAGGTTGCCTACCACACCATACTGTAAAACTATGTGTGTAACCCCATTCACATGACCATTTCCAATCTGCAGTACTTTATTGACAGGTTCGGAGGTCTGTTTGGGTTCCAAATATATGGCACAGGGGTAGATCCAGGAACAATAATATATATAGGTCTTGAAACTGAGACAGTGGCAACTCAAACTCATCAGGTTTCTCATTCCTTCTATGAGGAGATGAGTATTGAGGATAAAATTCCCCATAATGTTAAGAACCTATTTATTGATTTGGCTGAGGGTATTGCATGTAGTCTTAATGTAACTAATTGCTATGTGTGTGGAGGTACTAATATGGGAGACCAGTGGCCATGGGAGGCAAAGGAAATATGGTACCCTGGCTCTGAGACATATGAACAACAGATACCTTTCTAGTCTGATCATCAAGTAAGTACTAGAAGTAAATCGGAATGGCGGTTAAAAACCTCCATTATAGGTCATGTTTGTATAGCCAGGAAAGGGACAATGTATAACACGTCTGTAGGTGAGCTAACTTGCTTGGGACAAAAAGCCTATAATGTTAATACTAAAAATACTACTTGGTGGTCAGCTTCAAATGTCTCGGAGCCTACTAATCCGTTTGCCAATTACACTCATTTAAAGGAGGTATGGTTTGACTTATCGGCTACATCTAGTTGGAAAGCCCCAGCAAATTTATACTGGATCTGTGGTAGGAAAGCTTATTCAGAGTTACCACAAGATTGGGAAGGGGCATGTGTATTAGGTATGCCAAAGCCATCCTTCTTCTTGTTGCCAATCGAAACAGGAGAGACCTTGGGAGTTAAGGTTTACGATGTAAATCATAAAAGGGAGAGAGCATCCTTGAATATAGGTAGCTGGGAAGATAATGAGTGGCCCCCTCAACGTATTATTAATTATTATGGACCTGCTACTTGGGCAGAAGATGGCACTTATGGATATAGAACTCCGATATATATGCTCAACCGCATTATTAGACTACAGGCGGTGGTTGAGATTATTACTAATGAGACAGCTCAAGCGCTTTATCTTCTAGCTAAGCAAAATACCAAGATGTGATCAGCCATATACCAGAATAGGCTAGCTCTTGATTACTTACTAGCAGTAGAAGGAGGTGTATGTGGAAAGTGTAATCTAAGTAACTGTTGTCTGCACATAGATGATGAAGGGCAGGCAGTGGCTGAACTTACAAGCCACATGGTTAAATTTGTGCATGTACCTACTCAGGTCTGGAATGGGTATAACCTAAGTAGTTGGTTTGGAAGTTGGTATGAGCAGCTTGGAGGGATTAAGACATTAGTAGGAGGAGTAGAATTTATTATATTTTTTTTGTGCCTCCTCCTGCCCTGTCTAATTCCACTAGTGGTCAGGTCCCTACGTAGTATTATAGAGAGTACTATAGAGAGAAAGACAGCGGCTCATGTAATGGCTGTCTGGAAGATATGATCCCCTAGCCCGAAGAGAATATATTCAGGATGAAGAATGTTGAAGGAGTTTTTAAGATGCTTACAAGGTCTACTCTGGTTCAATGGCTACTTGAGAGATGTAGGTAAAACTGTGATTGGTGATGCATCTGGAATAATGTTATATCAAAGGCATCAAAGGGGGGAATGTGATGGGATTCCAGCATGGTTAAAATTTAGTAGGCCAAGATTTCCATGTGGCATATGTGTATGTTGTGTCAGTTAGTTAGTTAGCTACACGTAGCTAGGATACTGTCATCAGTGTACTGAGCATGTGCAGGAATGCAGGAACTGAAATTGCACTTATTTCCTTTGTCTTGGATGAGCCATGTGGTTTGACTAGATGTACAAGTCTATATTCTGCTCATTGATTGGTTAAAGGTATATGTGGGTGTAGCTATTAATGGGAGGAGTTATAGTGCTATATAAGGAATGTACACTATGTGTTGGTCTCTCAGATCATTTGGAACAGGAGTTCATCTGAGACCCGATCGGTAATGTGAATAAAGGCCTCTTACTTCCTGAAGACCTGTGTCCAAATCTCTGTGTTTGGCTTCTGCATGCTTACACTGCAACACTGCCAGGGTTTGTCCATGGAAATTTTATATATCTCTTAGCAATGAGTGCCTGAGTCAGTCCCAAATCCAATGATTGGAAGGGGTCTATGTTGAATATTGACTTGAAACTAGGGATAACGTGTGAATTACATCATCTTCGAATGCAGAGCTTCCAGGTGGGTTCAACACAAAAAACAAAACAAAACAAAAAAGTCTTCCTTAGCACAATTCTTGTTTACCCCACAGCTTGAAGGTTACAGACAGTCAAGTACAATGAGGACAGGTGAGTCAATTAACCCATTATATTCAATACTGAAATTTTAGGGTGTGTTTCTTTAAGGTGTGACACTATTGATGTGTTGATTTTTTAGTTTCAGTATTCATTTGTCCTTTAACTTGTCTAATTGATTAATGAGGAATCATTAGTTAGCACTGGTTGCAGACATCAAATCAAGGGAGGTGTTTACGGTGTTTGTGCTTTCATGCAGTAAACCTGTGGAACGATTGAATGTTAAAAGGGACACATCAGACCCCTAAAGCAATCTAACTTCCTGAAAAGCTTTATATGTTAAGCATGTGTCCTCTTTTGTTTGATTTTACAAAAGGTAAAGTTTACACTTTTATAAATTAACCAGGTTACACCCCAATTAGACAACTGGACCTGTAACTTCCTGCCTTGCACAGACTTCTCATTGAGCTGCATTGGGAAGTCTGTGATTGGACAGCACAGAAAGTCCAGGCGGAGTTAGGGGGGGAGGGCTCGCAAAGACTGCAGACAAGAGAACTGCAGCTTTTGCAAGCTGTGGATGGGCCCCAATAAAAACATTAATAATTAAATGCATGCAAGTTTTCATTTTGGGTATATCTACTAAACAGTGATTGTTATTTATTTTGTATTTGGGTAGTGGATATATTTAAGGTGAGATACATTGCCCATTTTCACAGATCCACTAATGGTTATTGTTCTGTAACAAAGTATCAGAATGCGAGGTTGTAATTTACTCCATCTTGAGGTGAATTTTGCCATTTGATTTTCAATTCACCTTCATGCCATGATCAGGAAATTAACTTTTGTTTTCGAAATTAAGGATTAAATGACCCTTTGATAGCTGAATAAGGAGAATCCCAGCTTTTAAAAGACCCTAATTAAAGCATCTCATAGGTGGACTGAGACACGCTAAACCAGGATCATTTCCTGCGGTGTGATAGCGGCCACCATTTATTATTCATTTTCTAAACGTTATTTAGAACTACCCATAATCAGATATTTAGCCACAGATGACAGCAGTGTGTAAATTGAACAAGATATCCCTGTAAATCTTCTAAATGCTTTCTCGAACAAAGTTTGGACCATTGAATGCTGCATGACTCGGTTTTGATCTTTTTTTGGTAACTTGGTTCTCAATCTACGAGGTAGGTAGCTTATCCCTAATTATCAGGGCTCGAGTCCTGCAGGAACGCATGGGAACGGCGTTCCTGCACTTTTTCCAGAGCAGGAACGCCGTTCCCGTTACCTGTCTTGCAGGACCGGCCCTGCTACCTGCACAGAGGGGCCAGCACACGCTGTGTTCCTTCTCCAGCTATAACTCTCGCGAGACTCGCGGCTGTTACCATGGCAACGTTCCGCACAGGCGAGTCTCGCGAGAGTTAGAGCTGGAGAGGGAGCACAGCGTGTGATGGCCCCTCTGTGCAGCGGCAGCCTCCCTCCAGCATACCACCGGACCACCAGGCGATCTCCCCCCTCCCTGACAAGGTAAGAAGCAGGGAGGGGGGAATAAAATAAAGAAAATATACATACACATAAAGTTAAAAAAAAATGCTCCCCCCCCCCACACACATCATCCAGCACTCACACACCCATCATCCAGCACTCACACACCCATCATCCAGCACACACACACCCATCATCCAGCACACCCATCATCCAGCACACCCATCATCCAGCACACACACACCCAACATCCAGCACACACACACCCATCATCCAGCACACACACACACACACATCATCCAGCACTCACACATCATCCAGCACTCACACACACATCATCCAGCAAACACCCATCATCCAGCACTCACACCCATCATCCAGCACTCACACACCCATCATCCAGCACACACACACACATCATCCAGCACTCACACACACATCATCCATCACCACACACCCATCATCCAGCACTCACACACATCATCCAGCACTCACACACCCATCATCCACACACACACACATCATCCAGCACCCATCATCCAGCACATCCAGCACACACACACATCATCCAGCACACACACATAATCCAGCACACACACACACATAATCCAGCACACACACACACATAATCCACACACACACACACATCATCCAGCACACACACACACACATCATCCAGCACACACACACACACATCATCCAGCACACACACACACACATCATCCAGCGCGCACACGCACACACTGCATTCATTATACACACTCTTCACTCACTACAAACACACTACATTCACTATACACCCTCTGCATTCACTATACACACTCTGCATTTATTATGCACATTCTGCACTCACTACACACTACATTCACTATACACACTCTGCATTCACTACAAACACACTACATACACTGCATTCAGTGTACACACTCTGCACTCACTAAAAACACACTGCATTCATTATACACACTCTGCATTCACTACAAACACACTACATTCATTATACACACCCTGCACTGCACTATATGCATAGGAGTGTAATTTTTTTTTTTTTAAAGGGGGGGAGAGGTGGCGGGAATCTTGGGTGAGTTCCCACACTTTTTTCCCCAGGACTTGACCCCTGCTAATTATGCTCTAGGTGTGAAGATACATTGTGACTGGCTCTGTCCCTACACTCCTGTCCAGGCCTGTCTAACATGGAGGATAAATTACATTCTAAATGGTCACAAAGTACCAGGAGGGGTTCTGAATGACCAGAGTCATTGATACAGCGAGGTCAGAGTGTAGTTATTATTGTGATAACAATCATCCTATTGTTGATAAATAATTAGTTTTTGCATTGCATTAATTTTTCAAATGTTCAATAAGAAGTTCTACAAGTCAAGAATATCATAATTTTAAATAACCTGGGCTACAGATCTCGAATGTTCCAGGTATCTAGTCTATTATACGTTTTATCCAATTTTATTCTGATAGTAGTCTGACGTTTCCAACAATCCTACAATAATTGAAAGCTAAAAAATGAACGTGAGGGAAAGTGAGTCCGAAAAAGATCCCAGGTTAATCAGCACGATGGAAACATGGTAATAGATTTTGGAGGTTCTCTCGGATTGTTGTGAAAATTCTAACCTGGGCGTAATGGGAAGCGTAATTGGTGTTTAAACTGAAATTCACCAAGCAAGATACAGGGAGCCAACAGAGAGTCATATCTGTCAGAAGACTAATAAAATTTTCTTTAGGCAATTAATGTGTTTCAATGGCCGAGCATCTGGCTGCCGGCTGCTTGTTTCGATGTGTTCTAGTGCTACTATCCCTGGAGACAAATAAAAAACACATTAAAAAACAAACTAAACTCAAGTAAATTCCAGCAAAACATGATAGAATTGTAAAGTCAGCAAAGATTCCAAGGTGTTATTATATATAAGAGTAAAACCAGGGCTCGAGTCCTGCAGGAACGCATGGGAATGGCGTTCCTGCCCTTTTTCCAAAGCAGGAACGCCGTTCCCGTTACCTGTCCTGCAGGACTGGCCCTGTACCTGCACAGAGGGGCCAGCACACGCTGTGTTCCCCCTCCAGCTCTAACTCTCGCGAGACCCGTGGCTGTTACCATGGCAACGCTCCGCACAGGCGAGTCTCACGAGAGTTAGAGCTGGAGAGGGAACACAGCGTGTGATGGCCCCTGTGTGCAGCGGCTGGTTCCCTCCACCGGACCACCAGGCGATCTCCCCCCTCCCTGACAAAGTAAGAAGCAGGGAGGGGGGAATAAAAAAAAAATTATACATAAATTAAAAAAAATGCTTCCCCCCCCCACACATCATCCAGCACACACACACATCATCCAGCACTCAAACACACACACATCATCCAGCGCGCACACACACACACACACACATCATCCAGCACTCACACACACATCATCCAGCACACATACACACACACATCATCCAGCGCGCACACACACACATCATCCAGCGCGCACACACACACATCATCCAGCACTCACACACACATCATCCAGCACACACACACACATCATCCAGCACACACACACATCATCCAGCCATGTACACACACACATCATCCAGCACTCACACAAACACCCATCATCCAGCACTCACACAAACACCCATCATCCAGCACACACACATCATCCAGCACTCACTCACACATCATCCAACACTCACACACCCATCATCCAGCACTCACACACCCATCATCCAGCACACACACACACACATCATCCAGCACACACACACACACATCATCCAGCACCTGCCACACACATCATCCAGCACTCACACACACATCATCCAGCACTCACACACACATCATCCAGCACACACACACACACATCATCCAGCACTCACACACACGTCATGCAGCACTCACACACACGTCATCCAGCGCGCACACACTGCATTCATTATACACATTCTTCACTCACTACAAACACACTACATTCACTATACACTCACTACATTCACTATACACCCTCTGCAATCACTATACACACTCTGCATTCATTATACACATTCTGCACTCACTACACACTACATTCACTATACACACTCTGCATTCACTACAAACACACTACATACACTGCATTCATTGTACACACTCTGCACTCACTACAAACACACTAAATTCATTATACACAATTTGCACTCACTACATTCACTATACACACTCTGCATTCATTACAAAAACACTACATTCACTATACACACTGCATTCACTATACACACACTACATTTATTATACACACTGCACTCACTACAAATACACTACATATATTATACACACTGCACTCACTACAAATACACTACATTCATTATACACACTCTGCACTCACTACAAACATACTACATTCATTATACACACCCTACACTGCACTATATGCATAGGAGTGTAATTTTTTTTTTTTAAGGGGGGTGGGGGGAGGGAGGCGGGAATCTTGGGTGAGTTCCCACACTTTTTTCCCCAGGACTTGACCCCTGAGTAAAACATTATGAATGGCAGCAGTTAGAACAAGGAGAATTAGTAGATCTCTAATTTCTGATTGTAAATTAACTCAGGGCAAATTTTAAGTCACTTCCAGATCTCAGGTGGACTCAATACATAGCTAGGAAAAATAGAAATATAAGACAGGTTAACTGTATGTTCCGCTTCCGTCTTGTTATAAGATAACTCATGACTTTTATGAAATAATTTAGGGACACCCCCTGACACTCAAGTCGAATACGTCCAAACATTGGGAGGTATGGGATCAAGACATTTGGGTGGGCATTTAAGAGGGCCACATTGGAGATGCAACTTGTGTCACTGACAAAATCCATCATGGGTGTTTGCATCCAGGAAGTTGACATGCCAGCCCGGCGTCAAGCATGCCACACTGTCAGTGTCCCATCCGGTCCACATCCTACAGGGCATGCAGGGACCAAGCTCCTAAAACTCTCTCTGCAGGGTCCTAGTGGCCGCTGCACCGTGCAAGCATGTCTAATGATGTGCTCTCATTATACTGAATGAGGACTGCACCCTACTGTCCCCAGATGATGAATATTTGGGAACTAAATTGGGATAGTGGAACAGGACCAGACATGAGTACGCTGACACTGAAAGCAGAACATTTGGGAGCCCTGAAGCTTTCTGATTCACTCTGCTTGAATGACATTTCAGAGAAATCGCCGCTGGAAAAAAGAGTGAGCAAGATTTATTTTTAGGTTAAGTTGGCCTTTCTGGCATAAATAGGGTCAAAGAAACACTCCAAATTTATATCAGTTTTAATGTTGGGTTGTCCCTTCAATGCACTTTGGTAATTATAGTTTAATTGAAATCTTTTCAGTATAACACACTTTCACACAATAACAAACACAGATAGACCTATGTAGGTCTAATTAAAATTGTAAAAAAAATTTAAAAAAAATAAAAAAAAAGCATGGTTAAAGTTTATTCAGTAATATTAATCATTGGTAAAGCTAATCCAACAATATTGAAAAAACAAAAACAAAACAGGGTAATCCCTAATTCCTGGACTGGTAGGGAGTACTTGAGGACTGGTTTGGGAACCACTGCTTTAAACGGTGTGAGGCTGTCTGAGTCACGGCCAGGGGAGGTGTAGTTAGGCCTGCATAGAGAGAAACAAAAACTAAACAACTAGAGTTGTTGCTTAGAGAATCCCTTTCAGTAACAAGCTGGTATTCAAAGTGAATTTTAAATTGTCAGCAAAATAACTGAACTGAAAGCACAGCAAATTGAGAATTTTTACAATTTTCCCATTTTGACAAACTTAAGAAATTAACCGTAAAATCACTACGAAGTCCCAGAAATTAACGCTTTGCATGTTTTATTGCAAGTTGCTAAAGTATCGTGATTTTTACTTGTATATATTGGTTATTGCCCACCTGACATTTATTCACATTTATAGTTGAATACAGAACCTTTTTCATTTAATAATACCCCTTCAGCAGATGCTTGGTAATCCGTGCAGTATTAAGGTACATCTCAGCTAATAACAGCAAGAGGGTTTAGTGCCAGACGACGGATTGATTTTATCTTTATAAATAAATAGACTCTTAATATTGTCTTTGAGAAATATTAAAGGAACTGCCAAAATGTAACTGATGAATAAAGTATGTTTTTTTTTTCTCTCTATTGCTCAATAATAGCTTGTGTCATGGGTTATCTTATTTTTTTTTCTCACCGTGAAAGTAATGGGTTTTATTTTCATCGACTGCGACTGTCGCCTTTCATTGCAAGACTTTGATAAAAAAAAAAAAAAAAGGAGAGAGAAAATAGCGTTCGGTGACAGCTGTACTTTACATTGAGGAAGAAGTGTCATATAGACTCGAAAGCGCTAATGCGTCAAACACATTGAAGACGACAGAATGCATCGCAGACACAGCTATGCAAACTGACTCTGAGACAATTTCCAGAACAATAAACATAGCGGAAGAATGGAACAGGTTCTATTTGCGAATCTTTCGGGACCTTTACAAGTTCGTTATATTAGAAAATGTTGATATATTATTCAGTTTCTTGTTTTGCAAATTGCTGCTTCTCTGGAGGACGTTTATAATAAGGTAACGTTCTACTTTGTTGATGTGTATACATCTTTCTCAAAAAATATATTGGGTTATTTGGGAGTTCTGGGATTTGTAGGCCAGTAATTATTATTATTACCATTTATATAGCGCCAACAGATTCCGTAGCGCTTTACAATATTATGGGAGGGGGGATGTAAATATAAATAGGACAATTACAAGACAACTTACAGGAACTATAGGTTGAAGAGGACCCTGCTCAAACGAGTTTACAGTCTATACAGTCTTATAGTAATGTGTTCCAAACCACGGTTGGGATACATTGCTTATTATTAAGGAACAATCTCTGGCCTAACACAGTCTTCCTCCCTATAGAACTTTCAAAATCTTACTGTAACGTTTGTAATAATCAATAATACAAAGT